GTATTATAATTCAGAGGCTTTGGTGATAGGTAGGGTAGTACTTTTATATGTTACTGCATAATATTATCAATGATTCAGTTTTCATGAGAAAAGAACAACACTGTCATTCCAATTTTCACAATGAAATTCAGAGAAAAGAGGAAAGGGCATGACTCCTTCTGACACTGTCATATACTAAAACATTAAGGGAATAATTTTTTTTGCCAATGCTGCAGTGTTCAAGACAGAGATAGTGGTGCCACAACTTTAAGCAGAAGGAGAGGTTTCAGAAGCAGGGATGGACATGATGCACATACCATAACAGGTGACTCCAAACAGTAATACTGGAATATACCAGTACCTGACTGCTAATTATCCTGGGTTTTTTGTCATATAGGGGCAGTCTGCCGTGTCTGGGAAATGTACATTCAGATTTCAGCTATAAATATTTGCAGCTGCGAGCTGGCATATAGCCAGAACCTGATTAGGAAGGATACGCTATGCTTACAATATTATTAGCTCTCCTTGCCTGGGAATCCTCTGAATAAGTGTGTGCATTCAAATTTTCCCGGGAACAGTGACGAGAATGATCTCAATTCCACCAATAGGAACAAAGCCTGTGGTAACCTTGGAGATCTGCAGCAGAGCTGCGGACTCATTTCTCGCCCCCATCTCAACGTTTGCTCCGGCAGAAAAAGATGAAAGTGAAAGTAGATGGCAGGAAATAATGTAGTTTACCTAGGACCAGAATCCCAATATCAAAAGGGAAATCATTATGAGGTAAGTAGGAGGTGATCACGTATCTGAATTCTTGGGTCTATATCCTGCCTATCTACCTGAAATTTCCATTTCTCCCTGTTGACGGCTGATTGTGATTCTGTGCTGCCGATTGCAGCTTCCTGGTATCACATTCAGAATTGCCATGTCAGAGTCCCGAAACACTTATTGCAGAATCTCACACTTGAAATTTTCAGATTCCCAGGTGCCTGAGGCTATTTGCCAACATAGCAATTATCTTACTGAGGTTTCCAATGGTGCATAAGATCAGTACATTTCAGTGTTTTCGTGTATAGACTTTCTATGAAAATCATCTTTTCAGAAAATAAATAATTTACAGCTAACCTTGGAATCGCAGATTATGCGGCTGAATCAGTGGCTTCAGACTGGAGCGCATTTCCTGCACTGCAAACAGAATCAGGTGACTCTCACAAATTCCTTGCTTTTCCAATTGCTTCTGTATCCTGCAGGTCTCTGAGAAACATTTTCTTCTCTGGTGTTTTTTACAGTGAGGCTTTGACTAAAGGCCAGCTTTGAGCAGGACTTTAGTCAAAGCCCCACTGGCAAAATTCCTCAGGGCAGTCCTTTTTATGCCATGTAGGAACCAATAAGCAGAGAGATCTCATAACAAGGACCGGAAAGCACAAGACTGCATTCATCTTGATGATCTCATCCAGAGCTGATGAGTCATCTGTGTCTCTCTCCTTACCTTCTATTGTGAAAAGAATCAGAGCAATTGACAGGGGAACAGAGGATAAAATGTATTTTACCCTGCATTTTGCCTCCAATTAACAGCCAACTAAATTGGTAAAATGTAACAGGTTGAGCCAGCTGGCAGATGGTTTTCCCTTGAATATACCTATATACATGGGAGCCTTCAGTCCTCTCTGAGGATTTTTTGATTGTGAATCTGTGCTGCCAATGTATCTGGCTTCGGAATCCTTGTGATTTTTTTCTATGTTTTTAGGTGTGGTTTTTATGCAGTCAAATTATAATAAATATGCTACATATAATATGATATTATTAATTATATACAAATAAAAATGCTATTATAACTTTTCATGTAGTTTAATAATAATACACAATATATTTAAGTTCATTAGATGGCTATATGAGGAATTGGGGACTGTAGAAAAAATGTAGATTTTAAATCTTCTCTCATATAGACCCAAGTATAATATAGTAGCTCACAATATCTTAGTGATAAGGAAATGAATTCAGTGTAATTGATTTCAGAAAAAAAATAATTATATTTAAATTGTTAACATTTGTGTCTGTTTGTTTTAAAGCTTATAGCTTTTTGGACATGTACATTTGCATATAGCATCCTTCATTTTTTTGTTTCTTGCATGCAAACAATATACATAATTATTCTTTAAATAATAATTCATAATTATATATTTAAAAAAAACAACTGGATTTGAAATATTAGAAGTTTTCTCTAAATACCATAAACAAAATTAAAAATTATATATATATATATATATATATTAAAAACAGATTTTATTTAAGGAAGTTGTATGTCCACCAGTTTCAAGCCATCTATTGTTACATCTATTTCATGGCAAGCCACTCTGAAAATTTGTCCTTCCTTAAGGCATGCTAGGATTTTTTGACACTGCATAAACTACAAGAATAATGCAGGCAATAGATTGAAACTAGAAAACTCCATCCTGAGTGCATTAACACAGATCAGAATAATGAGGATTGTTTGTAGCCAATCATCGGTGAACACCAAATAAAGCAAACCAATAGCCCCCAATGCCAGAGAAACTAAGTAACAAGGGGAGCATAAGGGGAACAAACATTCATCCTTTGACTGCACAAGTCTATTCCCCAGAGCATGTGGGGCACTGAAGACATCCACTAGGAGCTTGGCAAAACTGGCCTTTGTGCAAATAACTCCCCATGTGCTGACACTGGAAAAAGTTATCAAATTATACCATGAAAATCAGTTTTTTATCTTAACAAATGTTATTTTCAACCTCTAATGCAATGGTAAATATCACAGCACTTTACACCAATATTACTCATGCAGTTCAAAGAGCTAAAAATTACACCTTATTAATACCTACTACTTGCCATTATTCTTGGACGTAAAAATACTTCATGCCATATGTATATGCAATTTATATCCTAAAGAAAAGGATATCTTAATTGAAGACAGCATATCATAAGGAGTAGATCTTTCGGCAGATAATGATGGCTTGTATCCTAAAGCCCTGGCTTGAAATAAGCAATCAGAAACTATATTATATACAATAATGTCTGGCCAATAGCTTAAGAGTATTGCCTGCTTACGCCTATATCCTAAAATAACGCACTTCTCCGAATCTGTGGACCAGCATGAGGTCGTGGCTTACTGGCAAATTTCAGCAGATGCCAGGAATGGTATCTGTTTCTGGCAGCAGATTCATGACTTCTCAGTGACTCTTCCTAATTTTTCTATATAGCTCCTTCAGGCTTTCTTTACTCTGCTAAGACATTGGTGGATTCAGCTTACTTATTAACAAATAGCAATACAAGGTATTCACAGATTATATCATCTCCGAAATCAGCTTCCCTTTTCTTTCTAAATAAAAGAGAAAGATTTAATTTTAACATACTAATATTGCATATAAAAACAGTTATCCAGCAATAATCACAGTTATGATATTCATATGTATCTTATATTTTATCATAACTAAGGAAAACTATAATTATAACTATTTATTCTTTTTATAGTACTTAACAATTTATTTCCTGAGTATCCTCTTGTTATAATGAGGAAGAAAGATCCCCTCTGGTGATCCGTGTGTTTGCTGGGATGCTCTTACACTCGAAAATGTAGATTTTATCCTTCCAGCAACTCAGCCTCCATAAGCTTTGTGATCCTATGTTGTATCATTGCAAAAAGGATTGATTGCAAAAATAAGTCTTCATCTTGATGGAAGAATGTTGTTCAAGGTATTGTTCAGCCCCTTTTTTTCTGTGACTTTTGTTCAGGAGTCCATAACGATGTCATACAATTAGACGGGTGACTTCCTGCCTTTTCAGTGAATGCTTGTCTTTCTTACATTATCTTTTAGGTCCCTTATCATCTCAATAAAGACCTCTGTGAGTATCCTGAGATAGCTAATCTAAATAGTACATGATCACTTGCACATCTCAAATTCATGAACTTCATTGTAGCTACAAAGTTTTGTTGGCCATTCCAGGGAATGTTCACAGCCTCTGTTGATTAAGACAAAGGGATTTCTAGATTTATCACACCAGTCACAGAAGAGGAAAGAATTCTTTGGATTCTAATTTGAATGCATATGCTTCAATTAAGCAGAAGCATAAGGAAGTAAGTACTGTGAGACCTCATAGGTGTGGTGATCATTTTAACATCACTCTGTGCTCTTTCTGCTTTGTGTTGCATCAGCAGTAATATAGGAGATCATCACCATTACTGTGGTGATATTTTTATATCCTCAAAGGGAAGGAGAGAAGCCATTTCAGTTTTATATATATCTTATGGCTAAAAATATGTTGGCAATATTAAGACCAAATCATTTCCACAAGGTACATTTCCTCATAAAGTTGTACAAGAAGGTATGTCATGTAACGAGTAACATTTTTCTGCTCTGGTTCTATTTTTCTCTGACATCTATCTCTATGAAACAAAAGAGGAGACAAGATAAAGATTTGCATTAATGAAATGAGGTACAAATTTACTAATTCAGTTGACACATTGCCAACACAGAGAGCACATTTCATCACAGTAATTAGATTTGACAGGGGCATATTCTACAGAAAATGTATCCAATTAGAAACAGAGTAAGTACACCAATGATAGAAAGAAGATGATCATGTGCGAACCATGGGAGGGGAATGTGTGGACAGGTAGCCTATGTTATATAAAGTACAGAACTAGACCCTCTTGTTAAACAGAAACATGTCATACTCAATGATGACAAGCTTTGGGTCAATGCAAACATACAGGCTTTTGCTAGCATAGCATATACAGCAACAGACAGGTAAGAAACTTAAGATGTATTAAATGGAAAAATACAGGTACATAATGAAAGAATAAAATAAGTAAAAGAGTGAAAAGAAACATGGCAAAACAAAGGCAACATCCATTTTGCTAATCTGGGACCTCCAAGAGCAGAAACAGCACAAAAAAAAAAAAAACAGAATTACAACAAGAAAAACTTGCAGTGGTTAACAATATTTTAAAAGGAGTATAAAGCTTGGAAGTCAATGCTTCAAGGGAATACCTGATTCAGAGAGGCTCAGATCTCATATGGAGGGTTCTGGTTTTGAAGTGTTCTGAGTTAAAACATTCATCGTAGATTATTCTGTGGAATCAGAATATGCTGGAAAAGAGAGAACAGAGGCAGAAAAAAATGAGATAATAGAAACATTACAGGATACAACAACAAAAAATCGTCTCATCCAAAAGCCCAGCATGAACAGGAGAATGAGAAATAATAGCAAAAGGACAATTTTTTGTTCTCTACAAGACTGAAAAGATTTCTACATTCTTTTTTTCTGAAAATGTACTTCAGCTTAACAAAAAAAGTGTGATCACATATTAACCCCTCAAATTTAGGTGAGGAGATATGTATTTCTTCCTAATTAGCGTTCTTAACTCTGAAACAGTAAGAAAGTGCCAGAGTAGGAAACCAGCGATTTCTGTTACAAACTTTACTGAACCCACCAATTTCTGAGTCTAGACTGCATCAAACATGAATTTATTGTTCCATTCTCTGTTTGTTTGTTTGTTTGCATTGCTTAATTTTAAGTCACAAAAATATCGCAATATATGCTCATTGAAACAAAAAAGTGTAACACAGAAGTTTATATACCATTGCATGTACTTCAATATCTTGCCACTCCACAAATTTTCCAATTGGTAGACGATGGTTTAGATGGTTTGCATTCAGATAACATGCCTGACAATGAATATGATACTGATGTGTTTATAATTAGAAGGTTCTTCATAGACTTCAGCATGACATTTTGTAACTTTATTTGAAATAGTACTAAATGTTTTTCTGTTTTTACCAAATTTTACCTATTTGTTATAATTCTTGTATTAATTTATCAGGTCTTTAAAGACATTTATCTTTATATTTAGCATTCCTGATCATTCTTATTCTTTAAGTTAAAACTGTGGATTATTGCATGTTATGAAATGCTTACCCAATATTTCAAGAAATTAATAATGTGGAGTTTATTATTTAATCTATTACTCTTCAGTAAATATTGTTTTTTGGCGACAAATCTTTTCCAACTGTTGTCAAATAATGGGAAAAAGATTAAGGATTTTATCCCTTATTTTTGGTGGTCATAATATCTTAAAAAAAATATATGGCTAGATAGTATCATTGTTTCTTTTAGCCACATGTAATATCACTTTGTGGTTCTCAACTGGAAGATTGCCCCATCAAGAGCTCTTCAAAATGTTTGCTTCCATTTGATATGAGGAACAAAGCAGGTTCAGTAAATTGTTATTTGGTGCCAGGTTTTACCATGGTGACTTATATAACTTCGAACAAACTTCATCAAACTGCTGAAAATAAGAGAAAATATGAAAGGAAACAAAACAAACACTAACATTATGTGCAGAAAAACCTAGTAAACAACTGTAAGTCCCATAAGAATCAGGAGGTTAGACAGTGGAACAGAATGATGAAATGCTAAACAACCAAACAAAACAGGCTAATGTGAGCAATCAAAGATAATAAGTACAAAAATCTAACAATCTAAAATGCAGTCAGAGAAAATAGCCTTCAAAGGCAAAGGTCAAATAAGTGATGTAAATAGCAGAAAGTATTGTCAACAATATTTTATACCAAAAAAGCTAAAGGTATTTTTCTGTTTGCAAAGATAATACTCATTGAAAGTAAGTGGTCTACAGGAAAGAAAAGTTAGAATAAGTTGTAAAGTGCCAATATTGTCAACTCACTAAATTATAGTAGGAGAGTTAAATTATTATTTTTTTTGGATTTTTTCGAGACATGGTTTCTCTGTGGTTTTGGAGCCTGTCCTGCAACTAGCTCTTATAGATCAGGCTGGTCTCGAACTCACAGAGATCCGCCAGCCTCTGCCTCCCGAGTGCTGGGATTAAAGACGTGCGCCACCACCGCCCGGCGACAGTAAAATTATTAAGTTCAAAGGTGTGGTGATATTTTGCTTTTGTTCTAAAAAAATAAAGCTTGCCTTAAGATCAGAGAGCAGAGCTAGCTACTAATTAACCATAGAGGTCTGGAGGCCTGTAGAGACAGAAAGGATGGAGAGAGGAAAATAAGGTAGGAGGAGGTAGGAGATCAGCCTCTTTTGCTTCTGAGGTGTTAGCAAGGTAAGAGTTAATTGTGACTTGCTGCTTTGTCTCTCTGATCTTCAGCATTTACCCTATGTCTGGCACCGAGTTTTTATCATTAATTCCAAATAGAAATCATGCAACACAAAGAAACAGGCTTGCAGAAAACTCCCTGTTTATCTGGCTCTTAAAAATCTTTCCAACACTACCATCAGACTTTCAAATTTTACCTGAGCTTTAGCTCAGATAGTATTTTGTAGATGTATTTATGGGGACTGCACTCCATAACACTTTTTTAGCCTATTTATTTATTTATTTATTTATTATTTCCATCTCATCCCATCCTCCCATTTCCCTCCAGCTTCCCCTACTCACCCTCCCCCTCCCTCTCCTGACATAAGAGAAGTCAGGGTGCCCAGCTTTGTAGGAAGTCCAAGCCCCCCTACAATCAGATCTGGGAAGGTGTGCATCCAAACAGACTAGGCTCCCCAAAAAATCAGTACATGCAGTAGAATCAAAATCCAATGTCATTATCATTGGCTTCTCAGTTAATCCTTATTGTCAGCCACATTAAGAGAGTCTACTTTGATTACTTGCTCGTTCAGAGCCTGTCCAGCTGGTCTTGGTGAGCTCTCATTAGAACAGGCCCACTGTCTGTGTGGGTAGATGCACCCCTCAGAGGCCTGACTTCCTTACTCATTTTCTCCCTCTGTTGTGGAGAGTCTTCTGTTTTGTATTAATTTCATTGGTTAAATAAAGAGACTGGCTTGGTCCTTTGATAAGACAGAAAATTAGGTAGGCAGAGTAAACAGAACAGAATGCTGGGAGAAAGAAGCCAAGTCAAGCAGTCTCCATGATTTTCCCACCAGACACAGATGCAGGTTAAGTTCTCCCTGGTAAGCCACACCTCGTGGGGCTACACAAAATATCAGAAATGTGTTGAGGGGGTGGCTGGGCCACGTCCCCGGCACCCAGCTGCCTGCATGGCTTATGCCCCAAAATAATTACGCAGAAACTGTATTCTTTTAAACACTGTTTGGCCCATTATTTCCAGCCTCTTATTGGCTAGCTCTTACATATTGATTTATCCCATTTCTAATAATCTGTATAGCCCACGAGGTGGCTTACCAGGGAAGATCTTAACCTGCTGCTGTTTTGGATGGGAAATCATGGCGACTGACTGACTCAGCTTCTTTCTCCCAGCATTCTGTTCTGTTTACTCCACCTACCCAATTTTCCGTCCTATTAAAGGCCAAGCAGTTTTCTTTATTAACCTACCAATGTAACAACAGAGAAAAAGATGACCCTCCTTCATCAGAAATTGGTTAGATCAATACGTAAGAGTTAGCCAATAAGTGGCTAGAATTAATGGGCCAAGCAGTGTTTAAATGAATACGGTTTCCATGTAATTATTTCGGGGCATAAGCTAGCCAGGCAGCTGGGAGCCGGATGGATCACAGCCCTCAGCACATACAACATCCCTCCTTCTGCTCGTCATCTGGGATCTGGGAGCTCAGTTCAGTGCCCCAATTTGGGTCTCAGTTTCTATCTCTATCCCTGTCCAGATGAAGTTTCTATGGTGATAGGCAAGATATTCATCAGTGTTGCTATTGGAGAAGGCGAGTTCAGGTACCCTCACCTCTGCTGCCCACAGACCTAGCTGGGGAAATAATCTTGGACACCTGTGAACCCCTCTAGAGCCAAGACTCTTGCCAACCCTAAAATGGCTTCCTTAGTTAAGATATCTTCTTCACTGCTCCTGCAATAAAAAATATCACAGATGAATAAAAAATATTCATGACCTTCCAAAACACCAACCTTTTTTTTTTCTAAATAAAAGAGAAAGATTAACTTTGACATAATGAAATCTCTTATAAAAAAACTGGTCTAGCAAGAATCACAGTTCTTTTTTTTTCGGGGGGGGGTTTCGATAGAGGGTTTCTCTGTGGCTTTGGAGCCTGTCCTAGAACTAGCTCTTGTAGACCAGGCTGGTCTCAAACCCACAGAGAACCGCCTGCCTCTGCCTCCCGATTGCTGGGATTAAAGGCATGCGCCAACATCGCCCGGCAAGAATCACAGTTCTTATATTCATATGTATCTTATATTTAATCATAACTAGGGAAAACTATAATTAATTATAACTATTTATTCCTCAACTCCATGAATGTCTCCAAAAGGAGATCACATTACCTATGTTAACAGGAATTCCATTGTATGAAATTTCCAAAACTCTAGAATTAAGAAAGTCATCTGACTGCCTGAACAGTCATCCAAGGATATTATGTAACTTTATAGGCACCTATATTCATCTTACTGGCCCATAGTTCCTTGCAGACTTTATCAAGAAATTCCAAAGACAGTTCCCCCTATAATGGCAGTTTGTCAGTCACTTTCTTCTATGTCCTGCAGATTGACTTACAGACCCTTTCATAAAGCAGGATCTGTTAAATTCTTCTCTCACCTTCTCGAGGCAACTTTAGCAGACATTTCTCTGTGGGTCCAGCATGTCTAATATTGTATAATTAATACAAGATATCATTAAGCAGTCCAGGCAAAAACAGTTTCTTGCCCAAATGGCTAGCAAACTCCATTAGGAGCCTGCTAGATGCCCATCTTCCTCTTGAAGTAATTGATGCTACCAGGAGCAGATGAGTATGTGTCGCAAAGTCATGAAAAGTCCTAAGTTTTGAAAACATTTAAATATCATATTTGTTAAACTTTGAGAAGCTCAAATAATAACTATCCATCTGAAATATATCTCTGTAACTATAGAAAAGCTAAGTAACCTGACAACAAACTTGACTCTTATAGATGACACTATATTAACATATGTTTCAAAATTATACATTCTATTTTAAACTAGCTGCACAATACAAAACCTTAATCAGGAGCAGCAACATATACATACATATATATATATATATATATATATGTAATTTATAATATATATAAATAACTAATTTATTAAATTTTTATTAATAAACCAAAATCTATACCAATGCATATCTCGATTGTGTATCATGCATTAAATGTAACCAAATTTTATAAAAAAATTTTTTGGTCATACCTCTTTCCTAACTTCTTCCTGCTGTTTATTGGGCTAAGTATTTGGAGGAGTTTATTTAGATCTTTAAGTGCATCTTTTTCCCTAGAATCACATTTATCTTGAGAAATCCACAGGTTTCCATTCTCTTTGCAAAGGAAGTATAAGCTCTTTTCCAAAGCAAATATCCTTACCTATAACCAAATTTTTAAGTCAAGATAAGTTTAATGCACACATTTTGTTTAGATTAGCACTACATACTATGAAATGTCTTTCTGTACTTAACTAATTAACAGTCAAAAATAATCTACAATAATATACATGAGCCAGTCTCCCTGTGTATTTTCATCTTTATATGACTTATTTTTCTTTACTCATTTAATCTATGACTGTCTATACTCTGTCTATTTAAATACTTTATTTACTTTCAATGAGTTGTTTCTTTTTATTGCTATAACTGTTTTCTGACCAGAAGCTTTTTAAATGCTAAGTGGAAAAGGCTAGGATTAACTCTGCCATATTGCCTGTCAGTTCCATTCAATCAAACATGTTGAAGGCATGTATACTGCCTTTGAGAACTTTGTCTCAGATCCAGATACAGGCTTGTGTCTCATCAGATATGTGTTGCCATTAAGTAAATTGTAGAACTCTGCTCACAAACTCCAGATAAATGTTCTGCAGCCAGACCACCAGAAAGAGTTATAGTTGATCCTGAAACTAACATGACTCAGGATGCTTTCTTAATAAGTCTTGAAGATTTTATGCTACCACTGAGTCAGGAAGCATTCTCTGAAATAAAAAAAAATCATTCCTCTGCTTGTTGCTAGCAAACAGAGCCCACCCAAGAAAAATGCTACTACCAAAAAACCTATGTGTAAACCTATCCTTTTTATCTAGCTTTCCTTTTTCATCGTTCTCAGGTTTTGATGGATATAGTTGACATGTAGGTAGTTCATTCCACCATGACCATCCTGACTTAAATAATAACTCAGAAACTTTATTCTTTGAGTACTATTTGGCCAGTTGCTTACTCTATGTGTGTTGTAGCTTGCTATTTTATCCTAAATTAAGTAGTATTCATAAATCTGTTCATTAGTTCAATAACTTACTGGAAAAGTTTTGGCAGGTTGCTGTTGAGGCATTTGCCTCTTGCAGCAGCTACTTGGCTTCTCCTGGAATCTGTCTACTCACTCTGTCATTTCTTTCAGCCAGGCTTTACTCTGTAAAGACATAGGTTGAAGGCCTTTTTTTAATTAACAAAAGTCAATAAAACCAACTCAAAGCATGCATCACCTCTCACTTCAGGAGAACATATTAAAGAGAAAAAAATAAGGTTCGGAAATAAGAACTCCAACAAAAAAAAACTAAAAAAATTAATTAAAAATCCAAAATTGTGTAAGCACAGTGACATGAGAAATTTTAATGCCCACACAGCTACAAACACTCTCAAATTCCCACACATAGCAGGAAAGTCATGAAAAAAAATTCATGCAAAATCAGAAAAGATCAGCTTTTACTGTACAATAATATTGATAGTTTGAAAATTCAAAATGATAAGCTAACATGGTTACATATAATCCATACATTCCTTACACAATTTTTGGTAGTTGTGTATATATTTGTGTATTCAAAAAATGTAAAATAACTTCACATAATTATTGTATTATTTGATATTTTCCAATGCACATATTTTACTGAAAGTAGCAGGAAAAATTGTGAAGTAATATAAATACTGTACTTACACATTATATTCTAAACTACATAAAGCAATTGTACCAATTAATAAATGAATTATATATATGTATGTATATATATATGTATATATGAGGAAACACATATAAATATATGCAATACATAAACTTACATAAATATTTGAAAGGAACTAAAAATATCACAGTACATTTGGTGAGATATTTTGAAGAGTGTACCTCCTATAATATGAAAGAATAGGATATTTTAACACAGTTACCCATGTAAAACACCAATTCATATAAAATAAAAATAAAATTAAAAATAACTTGACTTATAAAAAATATTCACCTGGCGATGGATTGAGATAGAGACAGAGACCCAAATTTGAGCACTGGACTGAACACTTAAGGTACAAATGAGGAGCAGAAGGAGGGAGAACATGAGCAAGGAAGACAGGACCACGAGGGGTGCACCCACCCACTGGGACAGTGGAACTGATCTATTGGGAGCTCATCAATGCCAGCAGGACTGGGACTGAATAAGCATGGGATGAAACCAGACTTTCTGAATGTCAAGACAATGAAGGCTGATGAGAAGCCAAGGACAATGGCACTAGGTTTTCAATCCTAATACATGAACTGGCTTTGTGGGAGCCTAGCCTGTTTGGATGCTCACATTCCTGGTCCTGGATAGAACTGGGAGGACCTTGGACTTCCCACAGGGCAGGGAATCTGAAATGCTCTTCATTCTCCAGAGGGAGGGAGAATTGAGTGGGAGGGAGGGGAAGAGAGGGAGAGGAGTGGGAAGAGGGGGCGAAGTGTCAGAGGAGGGTGAGGGAAATGGGAGATGGGGAGGAGGCAATTTTTTTTCCAACAGCTTAAAAAAATTTAAAAAAAAATTAAAAATACTCCTTCAGTGATACAAAAGATAGTAAAGATTTGTGAATTTCATTGTCACCTGTTCTGAGGAAGTGTGATAATATTCAAAGTTAATTAGAAACTAAGTTTTATGTAGGTATGATATTCTGAGAGAATGTATAGTTCTGATGTATTGCCACCGTTTATATCTCTGACATATATGTGTTATATGCAAATGAAAATATGATGCTCCATTTGATAGTATGTACAAAATTCAAATTAATTTCCTCTGAGTCTATCAACATCCATCACCTAGATCTCATCAGTGGAACTGCTTATTAATCCCACCAATGCATGAATTCAGAGATTTGGATGTGTCTGATGTACTCTTCCTTTGATTACATATGCACGTGATGCTTAGATCCCTCAGTTTAACTCTAGTTTTTCATTGTAGTTTGGCTTTTGAAAATCTTAGACATATTTGTTATATTAGTACAGAGCATAACATTGAGAATACCTACAGATATGCTTTAAACTTGTGTATTCAGGGAAGACATGGAAATACTACTACCTTCTCTACCTTTAAGATACTCACTCCATACCAGGGATCACTTTAGGCTTCTATTATTGAATATCTACCTATTTTCTACATAGGTCCTAAGTGTACAAAAATTTAGTTCTTCATGTCTTGGTTGTTTCATTCAATGGAATAAAGATGTGGTTCTTGCTAGGCTGTTCATGTTAAATTGGGCAGCATAGTGAAAATTTGCAATGGATATTATTCACACAAGGTGTAAACTTGTCTTTCCCTAGATTGCTTTATGATGAATACCTTCCATGAACTTTCTATCTGTCCTTAAGTCTGGCCACAATACCATTCACAGAAATGCTGTCTTTCGTTCAAGAATTTTTCTGCTATGATTCCAGGTGACTCAGATAATGTCTATATTGTTCTCACACCTAATTCCCTCACAAATCCAGCACTCATATTTGTGACATCCAATGGGACCATCTCTGGTGCCATCAACACATGCCTAAGGGCCAATATGTAATAATTCAACATTGACTGCTACTTAGTGCTATACAATCTAGTTTTGGTTATAGGGATGAGTAGCTGAGAAATGGAATATAGCCACAGCATGCCTAGTAAGGACCTGCTATGCTGAAAGTGTTATTAGCAGTCCTTGCCTCACACAGCAGGAGTGTGTGTTTTCAAATAGTTCCTGGAATATGATCCAAAGACAAGAATGATATCCACTCTACCAATAGGAACAAATCCTGTGGTAACCATGGAGATGTCCATCAGAGCTGCTGCCTCATTCTCCCTCCCTTATCAAGGTGTGGTCCAGCAGAAAAAAAAATGAAAGTAAAAGTGGATAACAGCAAAAAAAATAATAAAACACGCAGTTTATCTCAGACCACAATCCAATTATCAAAGAGGAAAGCACTGCGGGGTAATTAGGAGTTGATCATATATCTCTCTTCTTGGGTCAGTATCCTGCCTATCTTCCTGAAATCCAACATTTCTGCCTGAGGATGGCTGATTATTATTCCTCACCGCCAATTGCAGCTTACTGGTATCACATTCAGAAATGCCATGTCATACTCCATAAACATACTAACTGTGGAATCTGCCACTTGAAATTTTCAGAATCCGAGATGCCAGAAGTATTCCTCGATATGGCAATTATAATATTGGTTCCTCCAGTGGGGCATATGATCAGTACATTCTCGGTTTCTGTCAGGTATTGACTCCCAAACTAACATTTGATTACAGAAAATGAATAATCAAAGGCAAATCAAAAAATCACAGATATTAAGCATGAAGCAGTGATTTCAGCGACTCGAGCACATTTCCTGCACTGCAAACAGGAACAGGTGACTTTTAGCAGAAGCATGGGGAATCTCAGAAATTCTGTGCTTTTACTAGGTGTCTATAGCTTCTGTCTCCTGCAGGTCTCTGTAACAGATTTTCTTTCTGAGTTTGTTTATAGCCAATCTCCTGACTAAATTCCAGCTAAACGCTGGACTTTAGCCAGGAGACTGGCTGGCAAAATCCCTCAGTGCAGTCCTTTTTATGTTATCTAGGAACCAATAAGAAGAGAGCTCTCAAACCTGAAAGCACAGACTGCATTTTACATCGTGAGCTCATCCAGAGCTGATGATTCATCTGTGTCTCCCTCCTGCCTCTGTGTTGTAAAAAGAAGCAGAGCCATTTCAAGGGGAACACAGGATAAAATATAATTTACCCTTTGTTTTGCTTCCACTCAACAACAGACAAACCTGCCTAATTAAGACTGGTTGCCACAGCAACATTGCAGCTGCTTTTGCCTAGATACCAGCTGTATACATGAAAGCCTCCATACCTATCTGTAGTTTTTTGATTGTGACTTCGCGCTGTTAATTCCATCTGGCTTCTCAATATTTTCCTGATCTGTTTATTTTTATGTATTTGTTTATCCAGTTGAAATATAATTATTTATGCTTTATATACCACAAGCAATATGTAATATATAATTATAATATATGATTACAATGGTACATGTAATTGGATTACAATACATAATATATTCAAGTCCATTAGAACGTTGTATAGGGCAATGGATGTATTGTAGAAAGAAATATTGATTTTAAGCCTTCCTGAAATAGACCTGATTGTAATAAAGTATCCCTTTTCTCTTAACGATAAAAAGTGAATTCAAGTTAATTCTTTTCTTGAAAAAAAATTAAATATATTTATATTATTAACATTTATATTTGCCTGCTTTTAAGACATATTTTTTTGTTTGTTTTTTGTTTTTGTTTTTCGAGACAGGGTTTCTCTGTGGTTTTGGAGCCTGTCCTGGAACTAGCTCTTGTAGACCAGGCTGGACTCGAACTCACAAAGATCAGCCTGCCTCTGCCTCCCAAGTGCTGGAATTAAAGGCATGTGCCACCACTGCCCGGCTTTGTTGTTAAGACCTTAGAGATATTTGGCAACTTTGCAAGAACCTTCTTTCATAATGTTTCTTACCATATGTAATTAATATACCTGAAATATTGTCTTAATATAAATTTATAGGTGTTTGTTTTTAAAATCCACCAGATTCCAAATAATAGAATTCCTCTCAAAATTTCATAATCACTATTAAATCTGAACCATATTTTCTATCTTTAATGTATATTGTATATATTTAAGGAAGTTGTATGTCCATTTATTATAAACCATCTTTTTGTACATAAGTGCCCTACATATAAAGCTACGCTAATAATAATTCTATATTTCTTTCTCAATTAGTTCAAGACTACAAATAGCTACTATCATAAGGGTTTGGTTTCATTGCCCTTTTTCTATTCAAAGTGCGTTTTTGAGCAATGGATATACTACAAAAATTATGCCTTTAGTTAGAGTTGTTGGAAATTCATTGGGGCAAAACAGCTTACATATTTACCAATAGTGGTTTGATGGAGATATTTACTAAAACTTGTGAAATTGAGATAGGTTTCCTCGTGTGAATGAAACGTGTCATTCTAGACTAGCTGGCCATGAATACTCAGATAACCTCCTGTTACCACATTTCTCTAATGTCCTGGAATTGTACAATACCAGCATGCCTGCTTTAGAAAACAAATATTCTAAAAATGAGTCCAGGTTTGCACATTTTCAATGAGCATATTCCTGACTGTTTCTG